GTCATTCTACACAACAAGCTTAAGTATTTGTGAGAGGAAATTTGGAGATATCGGAATTATGGTTAGCATAATTATATACCACAAAGTTCTGGCCATTTTAGTCATCGTTAAGTCTCTAGCCAGCTAATTTAACATATTTGCTAAATGGCATAAATATGTGTTAATTTCTAAAGGTGGTTGTTTCGATATTTCCAAATATAGTACTTCAATTATAACGATAAACACTACAATCATGATAAAACTTCCCTTTCTTTTAGTTCCATTTAAAGTCTCTCTCTCTTTCCTCCTCTCTACCTCTCTCTTTCTTCAGAGAGAAAAGAAAATTTTGACAGAAGATAGGATAGATTATATAGAAGATGAACAAAGATAATCAGTTGAAATATTTCTAACTTACTCGTAAACCTATAAGTGAATTGCCAATATTGCTGGATTTACTCACATTACTTTGTGTTAACATAATTGAACACCTTTAGCTCATTTATCATTTTTTGTCATCTTTTCAACTGTAATATCCTTTTCTGTTTTTTCATATCTATCTGAAAGGTCACATTATAATATCAGATTATAAATATTATCAGATTATATTACTCTATTTTTCATTTTTTTAAAATTAAAGCAATCATTTGTTTTCTTGAGTATTCTATTTTTCTAAACTATACTGAATTTATTGTCTCTTTGTCTATGACTGATAAGAAGTAATTTTGCACATTCTATAAGCAGCAGACTTATGACAGTGTTTATTCTGTCTTCCACTCAGTGTTTTCTAATTTATGATATCCTTTTCGTGTCTCATCATGGATCATAGATAGAACAGTAGGGCATGCCAGTTTTCGAGTAGTTTTTGTACAGGTTTTTGACATTACAATAATATATCTCTATGAAAGGATCGTTCTCACGTCAAAAAATTAGTTCAAATTGTTCGATTATAGATTATCTAATTCGAATTTTGAATATTTTAAGGTTTAGTCAAAAAAAAATTTCAATTATTCGACTTCTTGTTGTGAAAATAAAAAGATGGCACGAACTGTAGATAAAGATGAATATCATAAAGAACCATCATCGTTTGCTATTGGACCATACAGATTTACAAACTGTCAGCTAATAGGTGGAGGAACATATGGTACTGTCTATAAAGCATATGATATTCAACAACGGACACATTTTGCGATAAAAGTGATCAGATTAGACAGGTATAACTTAAATTCATTTATTTTCTATTCCATAATTCATTTTTTAAAACATTTATCCTACTTACTGAGCTACTGTTGTTGTGCATTATTTCATTAGAATGTCGAATTTTTTTCTTTTTCAGTCGAGAAGGTGTACCTGGAACTTGTCTTCGGGAAGTATCAATTTTAAAAGAACTTACCCATCCAAATATTGTTAAAATTCATAATGTTTTTCCAAACGATGGTCAGTGGACGAATAGCAGCTAACACTAGATATTTAATTTATTTTTGTACAAAATTTGATCTAGTAGCAGACGAATACTTACAACTGAATGGAGAAATATCATTTCTTATTGATTTATTTACTAAAATAAAAGTTACTGATTGGCAACATACAATATTATTTTGCAGGGTGCAAGAAACTATATTTGATATTCGAACATCTTGATTATGATTTGAAAATGCTTATTGAAAAATTGCGACCCAAACCCTTTCCAATGCCTTACATCAAAGTAATTTAATGCAGATTGTTGTTGAAATTGCTTTATTTCAAGAACATTAAAGTCAGAAACAACTTCTAATTGTGATTTTTTGACTTTACTTACAAGCATTGAGTTTAAATCCAAAAATGTCATAATCTTTTTTTCTTTTTTTGAAAATCTTAGAAATAAGAAAATGAAAATTTCAGAGTTTTTTATGGCAGTTGCTGCGAGCTCTTACACTTTGCCATACACATCGTGTGTTGCATCGAGATTTGAAGCCTCAGAATATTTTAGTTGCTGCAAATGGCACTGTAAAAATTGCTGATTTTGGTCTTGCACGTTCCTTCACAATACCCTCAAGATGTTATACACATGAGGTATAATCTTTTATGTGCTTATAAATTTCACTTCTCAATTATTCAAATAATAATCATCTGATGTGATTCGATGTTCGAAATCACTTGATGTTCAAGTTTATCAAAATCAAAAAGCTTTCTTCTTACATTTAATAGCGGTTTTAAATTCGAGGTCTTTTAAAATAATGCAAACGCCCTAGTTACCAATGCTCATGTTTTAATCCGTGGCTCGCCTTCTGCAATCGCTTGGATACGTTTAAAAGGGAGATACTATAGAGTTCCAGGGATTCATTTTCTGAAAATAGCTTAATTTTTAAAATTTTCCTGTTTGTATCACAAATTGGAAATGATTTCAGATGTGAAGTTTTTTTGCAGATTGTAACTTTGTGGTATCGTGCACCCGAAATTTTACTCCGTTCAAGATTTTATTCAACAGCAGTAGATATATGGAGTTTGGCTTGTATATTTGCCGAGCTTGTTACTTCGGAACCACTGTTTCGCGCAGAATCTGAAATCAATCAACTGCTTAAGATATTTCAGATTCTAGGAACTCCTACTGTGAAAGTGAGTTGGATTAAAGGACACGTTTGTTTATATGTATTCTTTTATACTGTGTATTGCTTACTTTTTGTGGAAGACAAGTATGCGAATAATTGATTTGTTTTCAAATTCACATTTTAGTAGGAAATATGATGAATGCATGCCCTATAGATGAGCTGTTTTAGACTTGGCCTGGTCTGGCAAATTGCATTGATTACAAAGATAGTTTCCCACAATGGACAGAATGTGTCCTAGCGGAATATGTGCCAGGTCTAGATAGTGATGGCCTAGATTTGCTTGCGGTAAAAATTATTTAAACCACAAATCTATTATTGCAATTACACTATTTTTATTCTAAGGCAGTTGAGATGTAATCTGACAAAGAATGTATAATCTAATGTAGATCTTAGAAGTTGCAATAAATATACGATTCAATCGAAGTACAGATTGAAGGCATAAACGATATTTATGGAAAGAAATAATCCCTTAGTCTTAACTTCATTTGAGCGAAACGTCTTCCCAGAAATTTCTTCCGTATTTTGAAAAAATAAAAAAAAAAAATTTCCCAGCGCTTTGAAGGCTTTAACGACTTCGATTTTAATGCTAATAATTACTTTGACTTAAGTTATTTTTCTTTATAGTCTCTATTATTTCTGCCATATTATTACAGCTAATGTTGCTATATCCACCTGAAGAACGGATTACTTCAAAAGCAGCACTCAGTCATCGTTTCCTCAGAGATGTACCGATACATATTCAACCTGTCGCAACATTATTTGGACCAGATGATGAATGAAAGATCAAATTTTATAGATTTGACAAGTTCTTCACAGTATGAATGAGATCTCATCTCCAACAGTTCAAACCATCTCTGTCCGTATGCTTTATTTATAATGATATGCTAGAAGTTATTGATTTTGAATAACATTCTTATGCACGATAGCGTCCTTTTTTCATATGGAAAAAATTATCTACTTTTTTTTCCCTTACACAGTAGTGTTCGCAGTGAGTTTTTGTGCCTACAATTGTTGTGTTATGTTTCTGTTACATACAAAACAAATAGAATTTAGACAAAATTTTTTCTTCAATAGAAGGTTTTATCTAATTCGAATTGTCCACCGATCAATATGAATGATTTTTTTTTTGATTTCTTGATCGAAAAATCTTAATTTAACAAAGACTAGTCATCCAGCTGTGTCAGCTATCTGAAAGAAGAATAATGTGATTTGAGGTACTAAACTTATTTTGTACTATAAATATTATATTGTAGTAATTATGGGCTTTTGTGTTTCTTTAAAAAAAAATCTCTCTTTAAGAGAGGTTTTATGACTAATCTAACTTAGACAGCCAAGCTCCAAATTTTTCCGAGGTAAACGAGACTGCAATACAGGAGCTCATTTGTATTTTATCCAGTAGAGTTACAAAAGGAAATTAAAGGTGGAGTAGGTTATAATGCACAGTATGTTTAGGGAAAATATATATATATTTTTTTTTTTCAAAGCAAGAAAGATGGAAACAGGAAGAGTATACATTCGTTGTTCGATACAATTCCCTGTCGAAAATTTGTTTCTGTATTGATTTTTGTCTGAAATTCCTTGCTATATTTATCATATTTTTGTTTGAATCATTTGCAATAAAATATTGTCATTAAGGAAAGCTTTAGCAATAAAGATGGGACTAGAACTCAAAGATTAAAATTTTAAGACAACGAATAGTTATAAAGTACAATCACTATTAAATGTGTCTTAGGGAGATACTTTTTAGGCAATATTCAGTTATTCAGTAGTAGAAGATCCGAAATAAAATGCTAGCATTTTTACGCTTGAGCACTTTTCGCCTACAGATCAAACCATTTCGTTGTTACATAGTTCGATATTTTACATACATAGTTAACATTTTGCATAGAATTTCTGGAGGGAATGAAACAGATGAAGTAATATTTCTAATGAAGTAACATTTCTACTTAAGTTAACTGCAAAAGATCTGTCCAGAAAAGTTCCCTCAAATAACAAACAGTCCAAAAGTTCCTAGAGGTAATCGTAACTTGCCCTAGGTTGATGAATAAACAGCGAATCAACGGTACTTTCAGGAGTACCAACCAGTAATTGAACAGCTCAATTCGTTGACCGAGGTGATTTGATGATTTGTCTTTTTACATTCCGAAAACATGCACCTGTCAGGTAGGCCTTATGCTTGAGACTAATCATGAGTGGTACCATGTTGGATTAGCAGCAGGGGTTTAGATTGATGTGACTAGTGTTAATGTCAACTGATGATGTCAACCTGATATAACTGTACCAATATATCAGGAATAAATAATATTGCTGGAAATTTTATGATTCTAAGAATAAACAGCAAAGATTAATTTTGGTCCATTCTTCTCTTTTATTTTTTTTTCCAGGAACACGAAGAAGATTTAGATAATGTGAGAGTCTGTTCTTCGAGGTGGAACAATGTGGAACGATGACATCCGCGAATTTGAGTATGGATGGGCGGATGATTCCGATGAAATATCCGAGTCGCAAAAACCAACCATTGTATTAATGGGATTGAAAAGGTTTCTGCATTGTTGAAATATCGGAATTATTAGCCGGAAATGATTGGTTACAGCTTAGTGTTTACAGTGGAATCTTATCAGTATTATGAATTTTCCAGTGTTGTAAATATCGTGCATCATAAGGAGCTGGACGAATATGAAGGCTTAAATCAGCTAGAGACATGATCGAAATCACATTTTGTTACTTGAATACGCACAGTTTTAGGAGCGGAAAAACATCAATACGAAAGGTTGTTTTCAATAAAATGTCACCGAATGAGACACTGTTCGTTGAGAGTACACCACGCGTGACGACGGAAACAGTTAAAGGGTCGTTCATTAATTTTGAAGCAATCGAATTCCCAGGTCAGATGAGTCCTTTTGATAATGCAATGAATCCTCACGATACATTTGCCCGCTGCGGTGCACTGCTTTTTGTCATTGATGCTCAGGTTTGTTATATAATACGGCTTTTAACTGTTCGAACATTCGTTGTATTGCTGTAATATGGAACTTTTTCAATAAGTTACATTTTTAAATCCAAGCATTGGTTAACAGTTTCTAGTTTATTAGTTTCTGCAGAAACAATACAGACAGATTTCCAGGATGATTACTCTGAAGCGCTGAAAAAAATGGTTGAATATTTCAAAAAAGCATTCGAAATTAACGACAAAATTAGATTTGAAGTGAGCCATTTATTCCAGAATTTTGGGCTTACTGATTGCTGCCTATAGTTGGATTGCGATAGTTTAGGTTGCTAAAGCTTATTTAACATTTTGGTTAGGTATGTATTTGAGAATTAGAAGTTTTGGAATGTTTGGAATGATTTCAAGAAATGTCTCTGCTTTTGACTTGTTAAAGTAGATAATCTATTCAACAAAAGGAGCAGTATTTGAAAATGAAAAGTATGGAAATTGATCAAGCTTATTGGATGAAAAACTAATAAAGTTTTGTTGTTAAATTTATATTATCTTACAAATATACAAAGCGAAAATATCGGTAATTTCTCAGATAAGCTATCACGAAAAACTATCGCGAATCTTTTAGAGTTGAATCATTATTCTTTATTTTTAACTTGAATGTGTTTATTCATGAATGCAAATTTGAGAATTTTGGTGTGTATTAGATACATATTCCTGAAACTATGTTTTTACAACTCACATTTAACCTATTTTTAGGTATTTATCCACAAAGTGGATGGTCTAAATGAAGAGGTCAAATTAGAAGCACAGCGTGATATATTTCAACGTGTACAAGATGATCTTCAGGATGATGGCCTTGATAAAGTTCATGTAACGTATGTTTTGGAATATAAATCTTTTCCAATTATTTTTCGTATTTAAATGTAAACGTTTACTAACTTAAAGTTATTAAACTTATTCGAGCCTTTAGTAAAGTTGTGCAAACGTTTATAAGTTTATTAACTTAATAACTTTTAGTATTTTTGTTGACCAGTGTGCACATTTGACACAGAATCAAACCGTCGTATCTATTTCAGGTATCATCTGACTTCTATTTATGATCACTCAATATTCGAGGCATTTAGTAAAGTTGTGCAAAAGCTTATAAAGCAGTTGTCAATTCTTGAACGACTGCTTGACATTTTCAATCAGGCAAGTATTCTTTCACTTTTTGGAAGGTTGTACTGTTACCCGGATTATTCGGTGATGTGTTGCTTAGGAAAGTTGTAGATATTGTCCTCTCCAGTAATTTATTCTTTTTAGACATTAGTACAAGTTTATTCCAGGCTTCTTCCTAAAATTGAATTAATTTATTCTTTAAATAGCGCTTTTCACCAAAGATATTGCACAAAGTTTTCGTAGTAAACCAGAATTCAGCTGTTACATCGACTAGCTAAATTTATGTATTGCGAGTATATATTACATATTACGAGATATTTTTTGTCTATCTTTTATAGATCTTGATAGTTTATTCAGAAACAGAATTATATTATAGGGTTCAAATGTTGAAAAAGCATTTCTTTTTGATGTGGCAAGCAAAATATATATAGCAACTGACTCAGCTCCGGTTGATATGGCAACATACGAACTTTGCTGTGATATGATTGACGTAACCATTGATATATCTTCTATATATGGGTGAGCGTTTTACTGCCGTCCTTGATTGAAAGTAAGTTTTTGCTAAAGAGTAGTTCTCGTGTATTAAAAAGAAAACTATTCTTGCAGATGTTCAGATGAGTCATCATGTGGGGTATTTGATTCTCAGTCATCTGCGGTCATACATTTGCGAACTGACCAAGTGCTATTCTTACGACAGGTATTCCTCTGATATCCACATTCTTTGTCCAAATAAAAAAAGTCCTTATCGCAATATAATTAGAGAAAATTCATCTTATCGCAAGGTATTTTTATCATTATTCATATAAAAAATGAGATTACAGGTTAATATGTTCCTTGCCCTTGTTTGTATTATACGCTCTGAGAATTTCGAGAAGCAAGGCGTCATTGACTACAACTTCCAGTGTTTCAAAGGAGTAAGCTTCATTACAAAACATTTTTCCCGAAAATCAAATCTTGATTAAGTTTCATTGGAACAAATGAAGAGTTGCATGCTAGTTAGAATCAAACCTGTTAGGGTAATTTTTTTTTTAAGGTAGGAAATATTTGTTCGGCATGAACATTCAGATTTGAAAATGATCGCTTAAATTTAAAATATTTTCAAAATGAAATGACGGAAATAAAAATTTAGGGAAGTTATTTGCTATATTCCACTTTTGCAGGCTATTGAGCGTGTGTTCCAAATTCGAAATAGATTGAACTCAAGAATAAATAATTTGGAATCAGGGATGCAGTGAAGCCGAATTTTTTTGAATTATATTTTGTATTTTCACTTCAAAAAATATTTACTTTCTAGAGGTGCTTTTGTATTCACTATTAATCGCCAAGGATTCGTGGTATTTCATATTCTTATTTAGCACGATATTTTGCCGATCTTTCCCAGTTACTTTGTATAATAATCGGATGTAATTCAGTTTCGTTTTCTCGTCCTTTCTTATTCCATGTGATATATGATTTAAGGCTTAGGAAAGGATGAATCAATTTGATTAATTTATTTTTACACTTTTTGATTGTTTGAACTCCGTGGAACTGAAAAGGTGTTAAAATCTTTATTGTCGAAGTAGATTCCTTTTGAGAAATAGTACACGGGCCTCTATCATCTGAATTTTTTAAGTCCCTGAATATTTTAATTCTGCTTGAAAAAATATTTGATTTAGATAGCAGTGTTTTGGATGATTTTCACTCTGCTCTTTGCATGAAACATGAAAATGAAAATTGTTTGAGTTTTTCAGTCCTTTCGTAATTAAAGCAAAGTCAGAATTAATTTATGAATAAGGATGAAATGATTTGACCTTTAGCGGCCGTAATTATGCATACTTTTTAATATTATTTCCTTTTTCTTTTAAATCTCATTAAAAAAAAGGAAAGATTCCATGCATATTTCATGCAAAAAGCAGAGTAATGAATATATTAAGTATCAGCATTTTTTTAGGTAGTATTTATTCAGTAATGCGATCTAGAAACAAATAATTTCTGGAAGAAAATGGAGCGTTCTGAGATTGAACACTGATTATTTTTCTTGACCAGCTTTTTATGTCTCGCACATTTGCCTTTCTTTGTTGAGCTTGATATGTTTACGAAATTTAACGATGAACTTTAACTACTGGATTCATACATTTAAAAGCTTTCACCAATCTCTGATCTTATTATCAAATTAATGTACATACATTCTGCAGCTAGCATTTTACACATTATAACTAGATTTACAAAATGCAGTTAAATTAATACAGGTAACTAGTCTGCCGAGATAATAAAGGTAGAAGAGCAATATTCAATCGTAAGAGTAGTTAATGACTTGTGGTATTCAATGAAGTTTAGTAAGAAAATGGAGTGTTGCTCTTGGCATATGTCTTTTGCGTCGTATTTCGCTTCAAATAGTTTTATCAGTTTCTAGAAATTGAAGTCATTTAAGGAATGTTTTTGACAAGAAAGATTTACTAGCTAACCTTTACGAACGGTTGGAAGTGTATGTAATTGTAGCATCAATTAAGATTATGAAGTTGTCAATGAAATAGTAATATTTCGAGATAATATGAATTAACGGTACGGTTTGAAAAATTCAAAAATCACAAGTACTCTCACTTTCCAATTTATAATCGATAAAATCAGTAAGTTTTTTAAATTCCGGAAGGTCATCAACTATTAAAGTACCACTTATTTATATCAGGTCTCAAAACAAAATATTATTTTCCTATTGACAGTAATTACTTTTTATTGCACTTCAATCAGTAAATAGATATTTGGTTATCGTGAAGAGATCTAATCCAGTAAACCATTAATGAAAGTGAACTTCGCAAAGTTTACTATCTTAAAGATGATAGTATTATTATTCAAGGAAGCAAATATATCAGAATAATTATGTTGAAAAGACTTGTCGACCAGTTTATTTCCGGTAATAGAATTTTTTTTCAGTGATTTTTTTACCTGGAAAATTTGAAATATATTTGTCTAATCATAGATATAAAGAAAACATTTGTAACTAAATCAGAATTTAAATTTATTTCCTCAAATTTAATATAAGTGAAAATTTGCTAGATATTATTTTTTTAAATTTCGTTCTGTCTCTTCTTCCTTTATAGTTACCTAATTTATCCTCTATATGGTCCTGTTCTATTTTAAGTGAAATTTCTGTAGAGAAGTTGAGAATGAATGAAGGAAAAAAGAAAAGAAATAAACTTTCTTTGCATGAAATGAACAAAGATCAAATGCTTCGTTGCTCAAATTGTTATAATTTTATATAATTTATTTCATCTAAAAATTACATAGAAGTAAATATGCAATTACAGAACGAACCAACCATACAATGACTGTATCGCAATAATATCGCAAGGATGCAATTTTGGTATCGTTTGTTGGAAGCCTTGATAATGTGATGTCATCAATGATTCATCATCGTTTATATGTACAAGGCCTAATGCATGGCCTACTTCATGTGCCATCACCCAATTTAAGTTTCTGCCACTTGGACCCCTTTAAAAATAGGAATTATATCATATAACGAAGTAAGCTTATCATTTGTATTCTATAAGATTGTCTTTTTTTTTGTTTTTTTTTGAATCAATTCTGAAATTTTCTAACTTTGAGATATGAAAGAAAAAAATTCAAATTTAAACAAAACCATTATTTCACTCCAATCATTCAATTTTCAGATGAAATGTTTAATTGTAAAAGTAATTTTACTATTTTACGTAAAGCTAAAAGACCATATGAACAAACCATGGTTCACTATCATCAATATGAATTTGTCCATGCCATATGATATCATTTGGATAAAATGTATGTGCTAATTCATTTCCTTTTCCATCAAATGGATATTCATCACCATGATAAAATGTCGTAAATATTACCTCAATATTTGCTTTTGTATGAGGTAATTCAATGAATCGAACATTAATGACATCCTCCCATAACTAAAATATATATATACTCTGATTAATGATAATATTGATAACAGTACAACTACTCAACTATGACAATTTTAAATGATCAAATTCACTATTTAGTAAATATATCTTTCTTTTTTTCCTCTCTCTCTCTCTCCCCCTCTCTCTTTCTCTCTCAGCTAATTTTATTAGATTTGAAATGAATTTCTATTGCATTTTATTTTATCATTTATCTAATCTTAAAAAAATGATTAACAAATAGAATGAGTCTCTTCTTTATCGTTCCATGATTTTCAAAAATTTTGAAATTTTCTCTCTCTCTCTCTCTTCCTCTCTCTCTTTCTCTCTCTCCGTGTGTGCATTCTAATAGCATACTTTGATAGCTTTGCGTAAAGCATTGTCAACATATTCTTTAAGCTTCATTTCATCCATATTTTGATGTAATTCTTTACGTGAATAATGAGCAATGCGATAATGAATGATTTTGCCTTCTAATCGACCATTATTTGTAGTTTCTTCTAATAATTATTAAAATTTTTAAGAAAAACTGCCAAATATTATTGAACTAAAAAAATTTTTAATTGAAAAAAAAAAAAAAAAAAAAGCAAGAAGTAATCTAAATAAAGCGTGTATGTGTAGTACATTATTGCTTTTTAGGAGAGTAATTTTTGAGTAATATATGTGTGATGCGCAAGGTTCATGTTTTCTGACATTTAACATTTAGTTTCATATTTGAAATATTTCTTATTTTTATAGTTTTAATATAAATTTCATAAAGATATATCTTTTGTGTAAATCATCATGTAACCTGCGCTATGGAAAATAAGAATAATCGGCGGAAATAAAATCTTATAGATGGAATTTAGTAGAAATAATTGAGAAGGATTTTCTAGTTATTCTCGAATAATCAAAATAATCGATGTCAAACAAATCTAGGAACTAACTATCTTAATCTTAGCATAGAAATTTGTCCCTAATTTCTTGAAAGTTATTATCAATTGTTAATAAAATAAATATTTATAATTAACAGATTCTCATAATGCCAAGTAAAAAAATAACTGAAAATTTCGTGATGGACTTTTTAACTTCTTAATACTATTTCACTCGATTGCTTTTTCTATGTCGGAAATCATTTATTTTATCGCATGTTGATGTTACACTTGATGAATTCCACTATTTTAATTCCATTCTTTAGTCTTTTAGTATTTTTTTTTTGTCACATTTTAAAGGAAAATATATTTTTGAGATAAACAGTTAATCGAATGTTCGGAGCTATTTTAGATTAAAATGAAGAAAAAGTGAATCGATTTAAAGCATAATTAAATAAACATAGTAGTTGTAAATACCAGGAATAGTTGTCCTTGTCAATCCTCTACGACAGATTGGTGAAGAAAAGAGCGGTTGAAGGTAAATGAATTGTAGCAAAGAGAGCAAAAATGATAACATCTCTGATTTAAACGAACAATTTCATTTCTTTAGCCATAAAAACTTCTAAAATTTCTGCTAAGATTTTTTGAAAGACAAAAAAAAAAAAAAAAGTTCCGATGATATTTCATGATTCAAGTCTTCTCAATCCTCATTATTTTAAAAGGTTCATTTATTGTTAACTCTTCTAATTTTCAATCATACCAGTTAAAGATTTTGCTACTCAATCAAATATTATTCAAACAAATATTCCAGACAGCAAAAGATGTTCGAAATTTAGAATAATATTTAAAAAAATGCCTTATCACAATCTGCAACTATAACCAGAACAAGTCTACCTAGATCGGAAATTACTTACTTTTTTAATAAAGAATTCACTGTTTTTCAACATTCTCCAAAACAAAATTTAAAAAAAAAAAAAAAAACGACGTACCCACCCAATTAAGAGCAAATGAGTGTATGTGTGCAAAATAATGAATTGTGCTTCGCCTTAAAATGTTAAACATAAATTGCAATTGAAAAACAACATCACTCCCACCACCAACAACTGACTCCTTTTTTGATCATTTTAAGTGAGACTATTTACACATTTGATATTTCTTTATAACTCATCATTACGGTTTCAAATAATTAATTGTAGATGCTTGTTTAACAACTAATTGTAATGCTTATGTTTCCATGAACTTTTATTAGAATTCTAAATCGCAAAAATTTTTTTTTTAGTAAATTGCATTGATACAATACTTTGTTTTATTCGTTTAACCTAATAATTTAGGCGTTTTTCTGTCAAACAATCAGGTCAAAAAACTGGACAGGTGATCAGATGCTTTTTTCTTTTTTTTTTTTTTTTTTTTTTGAATTTTTACCAAATTAATCGTTTGATAACTTATGGTTACTTATTTCAAGAACAAGTAGCATGATGGAAACAGAGTTCATATAACATATGAAAACAAGAAACAAAGATACCTCCACAGCATCTCTTTCCTGCGTAGCAACATTACTTTGTGTAACATAACTTGAAAAATCAGACTTTTATCAACTTACATTACAATTTAGAATCATGAGATATATTTTCAAACAGTTATAAGTCAGAAAGTTTTTTTGAAGGCCGTGTGATCAAACAAACTATTCATCATTCAGTATATAACAAGAAAAAAAATCTTTCCCAACTTGTCCAAATTTCAATAAAATTATTGTCAAAAATTCGTCATGCATATAGTAAAAAATTTTGTACTTGTAAAAAATAATGAGCACAAAAAAGTAAATTAGAAATAAACATGCAATATATGCAGGAGTACTTTACTCAAATATAACTGCTTTAGTTATTAAATTAAGTAAATCATAGTTCTATCTATGCAACTTTCCTAAAAACAGCACTTCTCTTCTTAGCTTACATTTCAATATTAAAATAATTTCGTAACTTCAAGAAGAAAGCTATAAAACTCCACCTTTGGGGTCATTCTTAGATAATGATACAACAGGATTATCATCACGCACGCATATATCACTGCTATCTTTATCATTTTCATTTTCTTCATCGAATAATTCAGATGGAAAAAAACTTCCCCTGCAACTGGAAATGATTGATAATTTTCAGTAAAATTGCTTAGGAACATAGAAAAGAAAAGAAAAAAGAAAAAAAAATAAAATCGTAGGCAAATATCTACAACTTACTGTGAACTGCCATTTAAAAAACACATTTCGCTCAGAGAACTTCTTGGAAACAACATCTGCGGTTCGATGTTTACTAGTCTCTCGGAATTTGATAATGCCACGATTTCCTAGAGTTATAAAACCTATTAGAATTTTAAATTTATAAGTTACAACAAAAACTCCCTTCTTAGAAATAAAATGAAAAGATGGAGCAATTTTATATTCAAAACATGAGATTACCTCAATTCTGGCATATAGATCAAGAATATGTGACTGTTGTTTCTGACAAACAGACAGAAGAGATTGATATTTGTGTTGTGCTGCTTCACATTGTTGAGAATTTAACTGTTTCGAAAAATAATTTGATAAGAGATTTAAAATGATTATCTGAACTATTACCGAGAAAAATAGAAAATAGATATATTTTACGAAAACAGATAAGAAAACAGGACTATTTAAAAGTGACCACAGTTGTAATGTTAACAATAGTTATTTTAGTTAATGATTACCGTTCACAGACCATTAAACTCTAACATTCCGCAATTTTCTAATAATATTTTGTACGAAAGAAAAAGCGACACATTACCTATGACAAAAAGATAAAAAACGATACCAAAATTAAGGAAAGAAAAAATTTCTTAAAGGAAAAAAAAAAAAACCTTTTTGGCTCTTTCAAAAACAGCGCTAAATTCAGTACAGCGCCTCCTTTCAATCATTAACTCATCTTCGAACTTTCGAGCTTTAGCCTTTGCAGATTCTTTCGCTCTTTCTTCCTGTACCAATAATTTCTTCAGTCGGACTACCTTCAAAAGAAATGCTTGCTAACTTTCAGAATTGTGGATATTTAAGTTTATGTATTTTGAAGTCGATAGGACTAAATTTCAAGAGAATAATATAAATTAAAAATCGATTATCAATAAGTTCAGCATAACATATTGCATATATTTGTCTTAGAACCGCATGAAAAACTAAAAATATAAAGGAACACACCTCAGCTAGCATTTGTGAAGTGTCAAGTTCCATTGACCTAAACCGTGACTTTGATCTAGAACCGTCTTCTTCCAGCCGTTTTTGAAGCTGAAAATAAGCAGCATCACTAAGCATATAGCAACGCTTCAACCTATAATTCATGAGATAAAAATTAAAATATGTAAAATCAGTCCCATGATTTCAATGTCACAGTCAAACATTAACAGTTTTCATAAAACTGACTGAGTGGTCAAAAATTTTTTTCCCATATAGCTATAAAGAATTCCAATTTTTGGGACTTTAAAATAACAAAAGAAATTAAGAATAACCAGCGAGACTTCATCTCTCAGCTGTTGATTAATTTGATGAGCACTTTTGAGTTCTATTTTCAAAGTCTCAGTTTCTTTCAGTTTTGATTCCGCAAACAGTAACTTCATTTCCATGTCCTCCGATCTTTAATATAGTAAATAAAAAATTTCAAGTCAAAAGTTGCGTATGTTTCATCAACTTTCCTATCATATCATCCTTAACAAGGTAGCTTATCGAATAAACACAAAATCACCTAAATTTGCATTTAAAAAGCACACAGTTGACAAAATATAAGTAGATAATAGCTTGACAGCTTTTTATAGTATATGTATCAAATGGGATTTCAAATTCCTAATTCGTACGCCGATATCATTAAGCAATTTTTTGCAAATTCGAAATAAAAAGTGCTATAAACATCAAAAAGTTTCCCTTTCATTTTTTCTTTATGCATATATAGATAGATTATAAATCGGTAGATAGAGGGACAAATGTATATATATATATATATATAGAGAGAGAGAGAGAGAGAGAGAGAATTATGCAAAGTGAATGTAAAATGATAAGTGAAGAGGTCGTATGCAAGTTAATACTACAAAATCACTAAAAATTATAGATTTCGAAAATTTCATTTAAGTAAGCAAACAAGTTCGATAGCGTGAAATTTGACTTTGTGATACCAAACTTTCATTTTCATTTTTTTCTTTTAATATTATTTTCTTCAAATCGATCGAATTTTTTGACGATATAAAACTAAAGCATATGGCTACTTTTATGAAACTTGGAAATGAACACTGAATTAACTTGAGTGGAGTTCGAATGATAAAGATTCAAACTTTGCATACATTTTTTGGAAGACTCAAGGCAAATAATGATTGAAAAAAGGTCAGATAATAGTAAGAGATGATAATTATAATCTGGCTATACAGATTATTATAAACTTGAGAAGTTTCTTTACGATCGCCCTAAAAAGTAGAAAAAAGTTAACTGAACGTACGAGAAAAACAAACTTCAGCATCTAAATAAGAAAAAAAAAAAAACTAAAAACATCAAAAAACAACTCTTGAATCAGCCTAATT